CGTGGGCAGCACATCACAGAGACTCTGGAAACACACTGTAAAGGGATGAACTACACTGCTGCATCTGGGATTGAAACCAGGAAGCCCAGCACTAATGCAGCATCCCCTGGACTCATCTCAGTCTATGAATCTATCGTTTGGTCTATGTAATCACAATGGTAAGGATCAATGTTCCTGAAATCCCTGTGCCACTACTGGGAGGTAGTGGAACTTTTAAGAGTGGGGTCCAAAGGGAGGTCTTTAGGTTGCTGGAGGTCTGTGCTGGAAGGGGACAATGTGACTCCAGCTTCTTCCTCTTCCTCCTTTTATGTTTTACAGTTGCCACAAGGTCAGCAGTTTTGCTCCATCATGCAAGGCAGTTGTGCTGCCTTGATCATAGATTGAAACCTCCAAAAATGAGCCCAAAAACCTTTTCCTCTTTATATGTTGATTATTTCAGGTATTTTGTTACAGTAATGGAAAATTTTTTTAATTGGAATTATCATTTTACTTCTTGTTTTTGGCTTTTTTGGAGACAAAGTCTTGTTATATAGTTCAGGTTGGCCATGAGCTCACTATGTAGCCCAGGCTGGCTTCAAACTCATAGCAATCTTTCTGCCTTAGCCTCCCAAGTGCTGGGATTATAGGACTGTACCACCGTGCCTGGCTGGAATTATCATTTTAAACTTTCAGATACTTCAGAAAAGCTGCCAAAACTAGTCCTTCATTTCTCCTGAATGATACCTCTGAAGCTGAATAGTAATGGTCCCCTCTACTGAAGGGACTTTTCATTTTACCCCAGTTCCCAACTTTCCTGTTAAAAGTCTCATGCCTGGATCACTTCTCCATAGTATGTGCCTGTCTGTTCATGCATTTGAGGTTGTGGCCATTTTCTAAGCAGAATTACTTTGTTTCCCCAAGTGCTATGGGTTGAAATTTATAGGTTGAAGTCTTAAATCCCAGCACATCAGGATGCGGAGAAAAGGACTACATGGAGGTCATCAAGTTGAAGGACAGCCTGGGGATGCAGTTTTCAGGGACTGTCAAGAACTGATTCTGAAACATCCACCCCCAGGGTCTGTCCAATATGACTGTTGTCCTTATACAAATGGGGAGCTGTGGACCGAGAGATGCTCACATAGGGAGAATGAAGGCAGAGACTGGGTAATGTACATATGAAGTAAGGTAAAAAACTATGGTGAATGTTTAGATTAAAAATTATTACAGAAATGTTTCATTTCGGTTTCATAATTGAAATAAAGTTTTTATAAATAGGGAAGGGAGGAGGAGGTGAAGGGAGGGCAGGGACAAGGAGAAAAAATGAGAACCAAGACCTGTCATGTAAAGGTACAAGATCCCAATAATGAATGTAACTGTACTGTATACCTAAAATGTACCAATAAACTCAATGAGAAAAAAATTATTACAGTAAAAGACACACTGCCATGAACTCCTCTCAACCCCCATGCCCCGACCCTCACTTCAAACACACTTATGTCATTGTTCTTGCCCCTTTTCTGCAGCAGTTCTGGAGTCCTCTTTTGTGAGTGTCTTTAGTTGCACTGTCATGGCTGCCTTGATCGCTTGGATTGATTCAAAATATTTACCTATCATGGTAATTTTCACATGGTGCCAGATCCAGTGAATAAGGTGGATGAGGACACACCATAATGTTTCTATTTGACAAAAACTTCCATGAATATTTCGAAACAATTCAGAACATTGAGGTGGCCATAAAAAGACACTCATGAAAGGAGACTTTCAGAACTGCTTCAGAAAGGGGCAAGAATGATGGGATGAGTGTGTGTGAAGCAACTGTGAGTATTTTGAGGGGGGTTAATGGCACTGCATCTTTTACTGTAATGTTTAAACTTTTTTTTCATTTAAACATTCACTGCATTTGTTGATTACACAGCACATAATGCCAAGGAATGTCAAAGGTTTCCAGAAAATCAGCAAGAAGACTTGACCTCAAACTTCCAGCCTCTAGAACTATGGGACAATAATTTTCTATCAAGCAGCAAGCCTTCGAAGAGTGTCCACACAGAGAGATGTGTTCATTATAAGCGCGGGCTCTGCCTGCCCCTAGTAAGGTGGGTGTTAAAAAAAATTGTGGCCAACCACAACTGCAAAACAGATGCTGCCAGTCATCCCTGGGTGAGAGGGTGATATTTTAAGAAAAAAAGATTTTTGAAAAGGAAAGAGCATGGCAGGAAGGCAGATCGTCTAAGTCTTTATTTACTCCTTCATTTAGACTGCAAGCTCCTGCAAGATCCTGTGAGATGTCGTCTGTCTTTTCTTCCCAGGATTTTCCAGCTGTATGACTCAGACATCCTAGATGGATCTGGACAGGGCCCAGAGAGAGGCCCACAGATAGAGAGGCCTGGCCAGTGGATACCTCTTGGCCAGAGCTGGAAAGCTGGTTGTTCCTGGGGCAGGGTCCCTGAGTATGTGGCTGTTGAGTGACCGTATTTGACTATTTTGAGTGAACAAGTCAAGTTTCATGTGGTGTTGGCTTAGCTTTTTTCCCTTTAGAATAAGTAGTCCCGTGATGTACAGAACAACTCAATTTCCACAGGATGTTTCAGAATCAGTTCTTGATAGTCCCTGAAAACTCCATCCCCAGAGTTCCTGAGCTCCATCTTCTGGGTGGTTCCAATCCCCAGGCTGGAAATGGAAAGAGAAGGACCAAAATGCACTCTTCTCTTGCTGATCAAGAGGCCACCCTGAGAGCAGATCCTAACTACGAGCTTTGAGATGCATGGCTTCAAGTCTAGTTTTGTCAGTTTGGTGTTAAATTAGATTTCAAACATATAAAATGGAGTCCTGCAGACTGAACATATCATTCTTAGAGGGAATAAAAAAGTTTGGTACATGAAGGGAACTGAAAGCACACTTAACAGCTAAGATCCCATAGTCAGGCTGAGCGCTTCCTAGGGTTCAAGTTGAAGGGCCCTGAGGGAGATACAGAGAGAATGCAGCACATTTTGAATGGGTAGGTAGGTGGTGGGGAGTTGCAGTGGAGGTGATGGATTACACCAGGGTCTCTACATGTCCACCGATTAGAGGTCTCTGGGAGAGAAGTCCTTACACTCAGAGGTGAGAAGCGACCCTCAGACCAGTACACCTAAGCGTTTGGAGAACATCAACAGCAACATATGTCCACGGAGCCAGGTGTCGTGGCGCGTGCCTGCAAGCCCAGCAGCTGGAAAGAGCACCAGTTCAAGCCCAGGCTATATAGCAAATTCAAGGTCAACCTGGACTACCACAGTGACAGCCTATTTCAAAAAAGCAAAAATAAATGAATAAATAGACAAGAGCCAAAAATCAAAACCAGAACAACCAATGTAAGCCCATAGGTCCACGCATATCACTTATTTATAAGAAACATAAAATACCACTGCACTAATGTAGCGTACAGTTATAATGGACATCATGATGCAGATGCACATAATGGAACTACAGAGAATTTGACAAACTAGACTTAAACAGAAGCTCTACTTTTGTCCTATACCCCAGGGGAGGCCCTGTTTACTCCGCTTCTCTGCAACACCCTGGACTCCTCTCTTCAGGGCAGTCCACATGCTTTTAACAGTGGGTGATTAAAATCATGCTTAATAAAAAAGTCCAGATGACTTCCTGACCTGAGGTTGAGGACAGACTGCTCAACAGTATCCACAGGAAAATGCCATGGAAGAACAGTAATCTTTGCAATATTTAGGTAGAAACTCTGCTGTACCACCGGGGAATTCTGCAGAAATTGACACCATTTTATTTGGTCTCCTCCCCGCCTCATCTCTCTCCACTTTGGGATCATTTTTGGAGCACTGCACATTATTTTTTTTTCTTATGCTATTAAAACTGTCAGCTAAAATTATGTCTTTTTATCTTGCTTACTCCATGAGGACTGCAGGCTTGGCTGTGTGCTTTTCAAGGAGCTTATGATTTCCAGAACATTACTGCTGCCTCTCAGCCAGAGAGCAGCACAGCCTAACTGCTTCAGACATGCAAACTCTATGACAGCTTTCTGCATTGTTCTCAGGGCTGTGGTAATCAAGTGCACATTTTGCACACAGTGACCAGATGACTTAGATTAAGGTCTAGGGAGAGCAGATGATGATTTAGGAACTGGAGCCAAAAGCCAAGCTTCTGACTCCAACACAGCTCTTTCTTGATCATAGTCACTATATCCCAGCTCTCAACTGTCCCCATCATCCTGCCTGGCTTCAGGAGGAATGAATGGCCGGAAGTACAGAGCTGGCCCTGCATTCTAAGGGGAGCAGTCCTTAAAACCCTCTGGGTGTGAACCAGTGGCTGCACTGCCTCACAGACAATTGTGAGATGTCAACTTGGTCTCTCCACCTGATGAGCTGAACTCTGCAGCCTGTCACCCTGCCAGATGCTCCTGACAGTCTCTGCCCAGGCACGGCCCTTGTGATCTGGCTGGAGCAGCCACAGGTCTTACCACAAGGCACAAAACCATGGAAGTGAAAGAGTGAACAAAGATGAGGTAGACTGAGAACAAGGATGCAGGCTGTCTTAGGGCCTCGGCTATGGCCACCAAGGACTCTCTTTCCCTGGCTGGTGTGTCCTCTCCTGCCACTGACCTTGATAGCCAGAGAGCCCCAGAGCAGTAAAGAGGCATCACTGCCAACAACAAAGCACATAGCAGTCTGCTTCTTTGACTGCTTCATGCTTAACCAAATCCCAACTCCTATGTGTATGCGTAAGTCCTTCATCCTAGTGGGTGGTGATGATGTTTCTATAGGTGGTCTTCCTGGAACTCTTATAGGAACTCTTCCTGGAATGTTCTCCGTCTCTGTCTAAATTTCAAGTACAATTTGCAAGACTTGGTGAGGCAAGTAGAAGGGCTATAGAGGCCTAAAGATAAAATGGAATGTTTTACATTTTTAAAAAATGCTATACGTTATTAAGAGACACCAAGGAACAAGCTGAGCATGGAGACTTCATGCTTCTACTAAAATCCATGTTCCACGGGGGCAGAGGGGCTGTCATCCTACCTGGTGAGCTTGGTGCCGATCTGCTGCCTCAGCTCCAGCCTCTCCTCATCTGTCTGCCTGGGTAGGATGTTCTTTTCTTCTAGCTCCCGCTTGGAGGGCCTGTTGCTGAGTTTGATGGCTAAGGAGTCCTTCCTGCAGACCTTCATGGCCAGGGAGCCTGCAGAAGGGAGAACCAAGTCAAGGACACACTGTCAAGGGCAATTGTTAAGGATATATATCTGCCTAGGATCCCAAGAAGCCGATGGTGGGCCATGGCATAGGAGGCAGGAGGGAAGGCACAAAGGGCTGGACACCTGAGAGGGCTGAAGGCCGCAGGTCCTAGAGTCCCTGTCATCACCACGCTCTAGACACCTAGCATCAAGGGATTGGGTCTCTGTTCTGCAGAAACTCTAGGATGCAGGCAACATCACAGAGAAGGGCAGGGTGGGCTGCCACAGCCTGCAGAGGGGAGTGGACAGGCCTGGTAACCAGGGATGGCTTCATGGAGGCGGGGCTGACAGCTGGACAGGGGAGGACCCACAGGTACAGGCTGGTGGGAAACCTTGCACATGCCTGGGTAACATGGCGGCTTGCAGGGGCAGAGAGATTTGCTGCTTTGGTGGCTGGGGCAAATGACAAGAGGCAGCTGGGTGGAGAAGGTGGGGCCAGTTCAGGGTGGGAGTGGAGGAATGGACTGTGAAGCAGGCAACTTTCTGGGCCTGTGCCTTCTTTTTAAGTCATGGGTTTCTGAGCAGCCAGGGCCGGGCTTTCTCACATTTGGTATAAATCTGTGGTTCTCAACTGGGTGGGTCTTGCTCCCCAGGGAGCAGCTGACAAAGTCAAGAGCTGTTTTGGGGTTGTTAGAAGTGGGGCTGCAGGGAAGACTGCAATAGGCATTTAGCAGGGGAGGTCAGAGAGGCTGCAAACCACTCTGCAACTCACGGGGCAGCCTCTAGCACCCAGGACCCTTGGGGTCAAAACATCAAGTATGCAAGGCTGAGAGCCCTGGCGTAAGGCATCCAACTCCTGGGCACCACAGCGAACAGCAGCTGAGAAGCTGCTCCTTCCATTCCTAGGTCACTGAAGTCTCTAGTTTGCTCCTCTGGGATTCTGGGCTCAGCATCCCTTTGGTCATTTCCTAGCTCACCAGGGCTCTTACCAGACTCTGGGAAGCAGCAAGCAAGAGGGAGCGAGCTGGGCCTTTGGATTTTATTTAGTAGTGCTTTTCTTCTTTCTTCGACCACTGGTTTCAGAACATGGGTTCTGGAATAAAACCTCAGCATTGGTTCTCAGAGGCTCTGGGTCACTTCGTTCTCTATCTTCTCCCCTTTTCCATAAAATGGGCTAAACAGTGTCTATACCCCCAGGGATGTGGTAAGGTGCAGATAAGAGAATACAATTTTAGCGTGTCTTCAGGGTCACAGCACATACTCTGGTTGCTATGATTACGAATTCATTTATCAAAAAGTTGGCCAAATATCAGGCTGCACTCATATTACTAAAATTTATTTATTATTCATAGCCAGAGTGGTAGAATTTGAACTCTGCTTTCTCCATTTCTTCTCTTATCCCATGCATGGCACATTTGAAAACTTTAAATGACAAATTTAAGTTCAGGCCTCCCGAAGCAGATGAGATGTTGAAACATGATCTGGTGCACATGATAGTGGTAGGTGACGGGGCGTTTTCTAGATGGGAACATTTTTAAGCCCCTCTCCTTTTTTTTTGGCACCGGGGATTGAATTTGGGTCCTTATGCTTGCAAGGCAGGCCACCGAACCACTGAGCTAAATCCCTGGCCCCAAGTCCCTCTCCTTTTGAGGTGGACAGGTGCATCCCAAAGAAGACAACAAAGAAAGAGGCACCGAAGAGGTGGGAGGTGGTGGCAGGGCGTTGCCATGTTTAGAGCTAGAGAGCACTTGGAGAATATTTACTGCTAAAGAAAATGATAGCAAAAGGGAAGGAGACCAAGGGATGGGAAAGAGGGAGGAGGGATGGTGGAAAGATGGAAGGCAACGGAGAAAGAGTTGAGATGTGTCACGTACATGCACCAACTCCCCACGATGAATGTAGTCATTCTGCACTGCAAACATGTACTAATAAAGAAAAGAAAAGAAAAGAAAAAGAAAGAAAGAAAGAAGGAAAGAAAGAAAAAGGAAGAAAGAAAGGTCCGGAGAGGTTAATTTAGTTGCCCTTTGACCCAGGGCCAGTTCACACCAGACCCAGATCAGAACTGGAAGGCTGGGCACTGGGTCAGCCCTCCTCCCTCCACCACGCTCCCCTCCCTTGTCATGTCTGACGCACTTACTGGTGTACAACGAGCTGTCATCATCTTCATCCTCTTCTTCTTCCTCCTCTTCTCTTGTGTAGAGGCAAGAAGAGTCTTCGTAGTCCGACTGGTGAGGCACATTTTCTTTATTGTCATCACATTCAATCACAACAGTGGGCACTTGTCTTATTTCTGGAAGGCCCATAGGTCCTGCTTTTGTGACAGCATCACTCGAGTGCAATCCAGAGCTGTGGTAAGAAGTGGAACAGGGGACTCGCTGCTCAGAGCTGTTGAAAATGCAGGAGGAAAGAGGAAACTCATTTTAGCAAACATGTCATATACATGCCTTGCAACTTCTAAAATTGAGTTGTTCATGTCAGGTGTGTTGGCCAATAATCCCAGCCCTCTGGGAGGAGGCAGGAGGATCAAAAGTGTGAGCTCAGCCTGGGTAACAAGACAAAATAAAAAAAATAAAACAGGGGCTTGGGATGCAGTTCAATGCAAAGGCACTGATGGGGTTCAGTTTCCAGGGTTAAAAAAAAAAGGTCAACTGTCCATTCCTAAGAGACAACAGGTCTACCAGGCATGTAAACCCATTTCTCATCCTACAGCTCAGCGTTTTACGACAGCATAGTGTCCTGATGGGGAGTAGTGGTACGGGATAGGAGATGAAAATTCTAATTCCCTGAGGATGGATGGTGGTAATGGCTGCAACAGTGTGAACACACTCAACACACTTAACTATACACTTTAAAATAGCTAAATGGCAAATTTTCTTGGGGGGTTGTATAGGGGATGGAACTGAAGGATGCCCCATTACTGGGCTTCAGCCCAGCCTTTTTAATTTTGAGAGAGGGTCTCATTGAAGCTGGTCTCCAACTTTCCATCCTCCTGCCTTAGCCTTCTGTAAGGAGCTGGGATTAAAATGTGAGCCATTTTCCTGGCTTCAGATGGCAAATTTTATGTTCTGTGTATTTACTATAATTTACTTCTTAAAAAGGAACCCAGAAATTATAATTCCACAAATATTTCTGAGTAAGGTCAGTATTTCCAAGATCAGAGGAAGGTTCACTTGTAACTCACACATGGATAGGAGGGGTAGAGAAGTAACTTGGTGGGAAAGCCAGAGGTCCAAGCAGGAAGATAAATACGTGGAGTTCAAGTTTCTAAAAGTATGCAGGGTGGCTGTAGGGATTCCGTGCAGGGTGGAGGTTTGCAGTGTGGTGGAAGGAGATAAGGGAAAAGAAGTGCAGCAGGGTATGGCGGTGCACATCTGTAATCCCAGCACTCTGGGAGGCAGGGCGGGAGGGCTGGGAGTCTGAGCCCATCCCGGGTACCCTAGTGAGACACTGTTGAAGGAAGGGAGGAAGGAAGGAAGGAAGGGCGAGGGGGAAGGTGGGCTGCGGGGTGTAGTTTAGTGCAAAGACCCTGGGTTCAATCCCCAGTATTGGTTGGGGGAGAAAGAATCAGGAGAGAGCATGAATGAACATCAGGGTAGACACAGCCACAGGGATGACAGAGCATGGTCCTTTACAAGGACAGCGTCCGGCCACAGCAGGCAGCCCCACCAACGTCACCCCGTGCTTGCTTTCTTTTTCTTTTTGGCAGGTCATTTTTCTAAGAAGTGATAATGATGTTCTTGGAGCCAACTCAGATCAAGTATGTTTTTTAATTAAAAAGAAAACAGCTATTCCATGTCTTTGAAAATAAAAGTTATTTTCTTAGTAAAGTCTACGTAAAGATCCTGTAGCAATTTAGAGTCCTTCTAATGACAGACTCTTCAGTGAAAATAATGAGAATACAGAGCCAGAAACACATCATTACATTTTTTCCTTTTTTGCAATGTTGGCCATAAAACCTGAGCTTCACATGTGCTGGCCAAGAGGTTTGTCACTGGGCTACACACCAGCCCAGTAAACTCTTTAATTCTCTTTCAGATTCATTGGAAATGGAATTTCTTTTCTCATTTAACAAATTTATGAACCCCAGAAGACTCAATGTATTTTACTGTCTGAAAGTGTCTAACACTCATTAAGAAACGGGCTGCTGGGTTATATCACCTATTGGCGAGTTTTACATTCAAATATTTTATCCTAAAGAAGTCTTCCTGCTGATACATGCAGTCGTGAGTTTCCTTTGAAGCTTTCAATTATGCTTTAAATTATGGTTATGTTTAACTTAAATTCAGTTAGCTTTCTTTTACTCTTTCCAAAGACCCATTCCTCTCTATGTTTCATATAACTCTTGGGTGAAACAAATGGAAAACCCAGTTAACATATTATGAGCTATGATGTTGGATGCAATGAACTAAATTAATGTAAAAAAAATCTTTTAACTACTGAAAAATGCAGTGTCTTGCTGGGCTGGGCAGACTCAATGGGTAGAGCTTTTGTCTTATCTTAGCACACGCTAGCACCTGTGAGAGCCTGGGTTCCATCCTCAGCAACACACACACACACACACACACACACACACAAACGAGTGTAGAGACTTTCCTAGGGATTTAGGGAAGCCCATTTACACCTAATTTGGTAGAAATGGCAATGGAAGCAGGAATGTGGGGTGCACACGACAGATGGTCTCCAGGATAACAAATGCTACTTTAAGTTGGACTAAATGGGGACTTACTGCCCTACCCAGAGACAGCCACTGTGTTCCAACTGTGCTTGGATTTCTATACTGGGCATTAAATAAGTGAAGATGGCAGAGGCAAAAATTAATTCCATGACTTGTGTTTGCACCACCCTGCCTCCTTCTCCCCTCCTTTACAGGTTAATCAGCAATGCCTCCTATCAAGGGAAGCATTGGGAATGCAACAGGTGGGGGCCAGGGATGAAAAGCAGACAACAGATATCCTTGCCTGGTGGGAAGAACCTTTGGAGGAGAAATAAAGTTGGAAGCCAGAAGGTGTAAGAGTTCCTTAAAGCAGAAAGCTCCAGACTGATTCCAAAGAATAGAGAGGGGAGAAGTATTATGCAAAGGAAGAGAAGAAAGCCTCGCAGGTCTATGAGAAACAAGGGGCCAAGGTTCCTCTTTTCTCAGATAGAGGGGAAGTGTGACCCGTGATTAGGAGGGGCTTGCACAGAGGCCCTGCTGTCATGTTTGGAGTGAGCACTGCTGCTCCATTCACAGCCAACCAGGATCGTAAACTCAGCACCCACAAAGAATTAGTGGGCTGCAGCTGAAGAAAGGAAGACACTATTTGTAAGGAGGAAAAAGCAGAAGACAGAAAACTGCCCTGATGAGGGGGAAAGGGTTCCAGATAATGCACTTGGTGTGGGCCTTTGTTCCTGCGGGACCCCTTCCCCCCAGAACTTGTCACAATTTGATGAGATCCCTTGGCTGTCCTTGGATTAAACCAGGCACCCTCACCCACATGTGCATTCCTTTTGGTGGGCTTTGTTTGACTTCCCTCTAACAAGTCCCAAAGCCTTCTGTGTTGTCTGTTTTTCCCTTCTTTCTCCACCCTGTCCTTGAGACTGCTCCCAACGGAATTTCTCTAGTGGAGTTTTAACTCTTAGTCAGGATCAGGCAGAAAACCTACCGAGGTTTTGATTCTATTCTTTCCCTGCCTACAGACACCTGCCAGACTAGTAAATGCTCACTGTTTTTGCACAATGAAAAAAATATATATGAGGCTGGGATGACTGAAATTTAGGGGCAAATGTAAGTGGTTTAGAGTCACATTCAAAGGGTCTTAATTAAGGAAGTGTTTTTACTTTTCAGGGGGACATCTGGTAGAGTACTGCAGGGGTCTCGGTGTCCCAAATTGGTTGGCATCTTCTTGAACGGCTTACATAATGACAGAAAATGCATGCACGGAGGGACTGAGACAGAGGAGGGGGAGTGAATACAGGGAACATTTCCCAGGTGTTGTAAACCATTCTACACAAGTTCCCAGAAAGCCTCCCATTTCATCTTTATGACAGGGAAAGTTATTATTCCTATTTAATGAAGCAGGAAATTGAGGCTCTGAGAGGGTAATTAATCAGCCCATAAATACAGGTGCGAAGGGGAGGAGTTGGAATTTGAGCCCCCTGTTACAGTATTCTGTACCCCCAAATTGAACTCTGATCCTTACAGGTTTGTGTGCTCTGACAAATCCCACTAACGGCACCCACACACAATGGCGAAAACATTACACATAAAAAAGATGCAGAGAGATGGGGACTATCCAAATCTTACTCACCAGGGCAAGCAGTGGTGTCCTGCCCTGTCACAAATGGGCCGCTCCTGGGCATGGAGTTAAATGGGTTCATCTTGAATGCTGGGTTCAGAACAGTCAAGATGGTAAAGGACTCATCCATTTACCTAATGCTGGGGCTGCTCTTGTACCAAAATGGCACTCTGGTTGCAGTGGAGCCCTAAATATTTCCTATCCAATTTTTCATAGGAAAGTTTCCTGACCTCTGATGTAAATAAACATTTCCTACACTTCCAACATACTCATACTTCCTGTTTTTCGTGTAAGCCATTTTTGAAGTCCATTACCCTATTTACACTGTTACTTTATATTTTTCTTCAAGTCAAAAATCTCAAAAGCTTACCTGTTTTAGCTTTAAGTAAATAATGTTTGTTATAACATGTGCTAATTATGTGTGATATATTTACATTATTTTATTATTCATATTATGCATAACAATATATTAAAGAAATATTATGACTGTTATAAAAAATTTGTCTCAAACTTATTCTACCTACCACCCAGCTCGCCCTTTACACTGCTGTCAAATAAGTCTGACTATATAATTCTCTCAATTACAGCAGGAACTAGTTGAGGAGCCCATAGCTGCCTCCTGATGGGGGTGCTGCAGAAAGACCGCCGCTGGCCAATCAGCTTGTGGTCCGAGTAGATGCTACAACACCTGGTTTCTCATAGGGAGAAAAAGGTATTATTTAGGAAGCTAGGGGAATTCACCAAAAGGATTTCAAAACATCTATTAGTAAGTAACCACTAAAGGTCAAGTATGTGTTCACCAATATTGGAGACAATCTTTTGCTAAATGCTGGTCTGGATTGAGATTTTTCAACAGCAGCATGATTCACAGTTTGGACCAGACTATTGTTTCCTTTGGGAGCTGTGCTGGGCATTGTGGTAGGTTTAGCACCACTCCTAGCTTCTACCTAAACGGTGCCAGTAGCATTTCCTCCAACTGTAACAATCAAAAGTATCTTAGGGCATTGCCAATTATGCATCTTCTGGGTTGGGACAAAAAATGACCCAGAGCATCCACAATGGCTTTGCTACTTGCTGCATTTCTGTGGACTACAGGAGCAACTCTGGTGA